AAAATTATATAATTTTAATAGGAGGAGCCTGGAGGGATTATAGACTTTGCAAATTCAGTTTGCAGACATCCATTGTGCGTGTCCTCGGCAGTTTTTTCCTGAGGCTTTTTAATATTGTCCATATCGATATCGGAATTATATCGTATCGACCAAAATTAAGAAATATATCGTGATATAAATTTTTGCCATATCGTCCAGTGCTATTATGCACTCATAAAATGCTTGTCCTAACCTCACATATTTTAATATAGATTAAAAATATTACGTTTCTCCAAAGATGTCATAAAGGTTTGTTTCATTGTTTCAGATGACGTATTATTTTAACTGTCTTTTAGGTGCAGTGTGACCTCTGCAGTAGGTGGGCACATTTCAAATGTGCCAAATACGTGAAACACTTTTCCCACTTACGTTTGTGAGAAATGTTTAGAAAAATAAACTTTGTTCAGTTTTTCTTTACACCTGCTTGCTTGTTTATTTAAAACATTCACAGATTTTTATAAAACTGAGGAAGATGGGTTTTTTTTTTTTTTTAAATCACATAAGATGCCCACAATGTGGTTAAAACCAGCAGAAATGCATGGGGCATAGGAAGCTAACAACTACTTCGTCAATGATGATTATTTTATGACATTACATTCTTATCATGGCATTAATTCTCCTTATAAAAACTGCTACCCCACTAAAAACTATAGGTAGTTTTAAGCTGCCAGAAACTGCTAAGTGTAAAATACTGATACCCCCTCTAAAGTACAGGAAAGTTGTTTTGATAGCATAAATCCTTACACAGATGTCCATTCAGGAGTATGGGTAGGAAATTTTGGCAATGTAGCAAAAACTGACAGATGTAACTGAAAATTTCTGCTGCGGTAGGAAATTCTGGCAAGGCAGCAAAAAATGGCAGAACACCGGACAAAAAAAATCTAACCATATCATGAACAAGGTTTAAAATTTTCTACATGAAATGCAGGGAGACTATCAATTAATGGGTATGATTTATTGATGTTTTGTGCTATAGTATAGGCTAAAACCTGCGGTTATCATTAAAAACAGAATGCGGTAATCATAAGACAAACTTTAATTTGTGTACGCCAATGAATATTAACAGGAATGTTAAATCTGCATTTGCATAATTTCAAACTTATGCTGGACTTTTATTTGTAATTGATTGCTCTTTTTTCTCCCACAGTGGTGAAATTGCACCACTTGTATTTTGTAATTGCATTTGTTTCGCTCAATTAGAAAATTGAGCGAAACAATTTTGTATTTCAAATAAATTTAAAATTTTATTTGTATTTCAAATAAAGTTTGAATCCGAACATGTGTAGTTTGAATGGGGGGGGGCGGCTCAATAATGTTCCTATCTAGAAAAGGGGGGCCCTGCAGAGAAAGTTTGGGAACCACTGCGTTAGCGGAACGTTCCATAAGTGATCTTGGTAACGTTCGCCGAACCGAAAATTGTTTGCTGGGGGGAGAATACTGTGAGATATCATGGCAGAGGCTTCAACAGAAGCAAGCAACACGTACCCCTTGGTTTTCTAGATTTCTTTACGGGTAAATTTTAATCAATATTTCAATGTTACATGTGTGGCACTTAACCTTCAATAGCCTAGCGGTCTTGTTTGCAATCACTGAGAGTGAATGGACACGTACAGCGCAATAATTAACTATTAAAATACATTTAAAAACACAATTGAAAAATTACATAATGTGCATTGTCCCCAATAGTTTAATGCTTAAAACACACTTAACTGGACATGTCTGTATAGTTTAGGTTTATACTTATTAGCCGATTAATTATCTTTTGAACTTTATACGGACAGAGTATAGTTATTAGTAACGGAAAAGTATTGCGAGGGAACTCAAAACTTCCAAAAATATTTTCCTACCCTTACCTCTTAGGCTTAGGGCCTCCGGATACCGCAGATGATCTGTAGAAAATAAAAATCAAAAATACATCACTATCCACAAATATGTATTTTCGTGTTGTGTAAAATCATATCCACAAAAATACAGGAGCAATTTGTACACGTGAAAAGGGTTTTGAATATTTGTGGATATCAGTTGCCATCTATTTGGGGAATTACATATTTGTGACCTCGCTATTTGTGATTTTTGCCCAATCCCTACCGCAGCTGATCTATAGAAAAAAATCCCTAAATACAAGGTGCAGCCATGGTATATGTGCAGGGATTGACGTAACTGGTACGCAAGTACGCATTCACCTTTAGAAGCGATACCTGGCGGCAATTGATTGTTGTAACAGCGTGAATGCGTACGTATACTTCATGTTCATTTGCGCCGATATGACAAAATTTTTTCGTGTATTTTAACTTCTATACCGCAAATGAAGTACGAATTAGCATATAAAGGTTAAAATGCACGATAATTTTTTGTCATACCGGCGCAAATGCACATAAAATACGTATATACGCATTCACGCTGTTACAACAATCGATTGCCGCACGTATTGCTTTTAAAGTTGAATGCGTACTTGCATACCAGTTTTGTCAATCCCCGTAGATATGGTTATCGGGATATGAGATTTTGGTCATACCGCACAGCCCTATGCCAAACAGTGAGACTATATAAACCCCCCCCCAAAAAAAAAAAAAAAACTTATATTAAAATATTCATGTACGAATCAATTTTTATGCCTGGATTTAGTTAAATATATCTAGTAAATACTGTCAACTATGTTAGTTCATCCGCAGATGACTTACAAGAATTGATATAGGCCTAATCAAGGTGAGCAACTGCCAAAACGATACACGTGTGTTTTAAGCGTGGAAGGTTAGGGAAAATGATGTGTGGTTATAGTAAAGTGTTTACCGGTTAACTTCAGGGCTAACATCAGGACTTGTACGGGTTAGAGATATGGATACGGCAAAGTATTACGGGTTACGGATAGGATAGCGTGTACTGGTTAATGTTGGGTTAAACATGTAGGCCTACGGGTTAATGTTGTAAAATTACCATTTAAATGGCATAGGCAGCACTACCCCAGGTTTCATAACAGGGATAAATTTAAAGTTTATGCGGCTGGAGCGTGAAGGAAAAGCACCCCAGGATCCGGCGTTATGCGTGGCATTTCACAACCCCAATCTCCAAAACCATCAAAACCCCTTTTAATAGATCCCGGTAATCCGGTCATATGCTTTAGGTTTGAATTTGACTCAGTTTAACCACTCCCCAGTTTCCCGCTTGCAAAAATATGAGTAACGTCGGACAAACGAATGAAAAAGGGTTTTTTGTAAGCCAATTGCGACCACACAGGCGAAAACATTTATCAACTACGCAAAAAAGTGGATTTATAAAAATTCTTAATCGTTTCGGTGAGTCTGGACAAGAGATTAAAAAATAAACTATTTAAAAAATGCGCAGTTATCATAACTGAAGTAGCGAAGGAAAACGAAGCATTTAGATTAAGTAACACAACTTACCTCTTCTGACAAACTTTCCAATAAAGCTGGCGTTTATTTTGGGTTTATTATAGTGCTTCTGGAGCAGCAGCATGGGTAGATCCTGGCAGCTCACGGTAAAACTTTAAGACGCCTACTCTCACCTAAGAAAAGCTCCGATCTGCTGATATCTCGGACCGAAATCCTCCAGACGATCAACAAGCGCACGTTCCCGTTTTCCTCCTCCTCACACGGCTCTTCTTTAACCCATTCAGCCAGATGGGCACCATGTGACTCCTCTCCACGTCAGTACTACTGGGGGGGACAAAGATATCCCAATATACCCCCCTTTTTCCTACTTTCCCCCCTTTTTCTTCTTTTCCTCTTCCCCCGGTGTCCACGCAGCCGTCCCCCACCCTTTTTAAGGGGTACCTTTACGGCTCCGGTCTTTCGGTTCTTAATTTGCGTGAGAAATACAGCTCAGACTAAGTACTGTATGTCTCGTCTCGTCTCATCTGATCTGACTGATTTTGTCTTTGAAGATCAACGTCAAACATCTAGCGCCAGTCAAACACCGGAGAATTGCGAGACACGCCTCGAACTGCACAAGCCCCTATTTGTTCACCCTATAAACCATGGGTATGACGGTATAGTCCTGAAAGCCTATCGGGATTGACAAAGCTGGGCTGAGGCCGAAATGTTTAAGATTAGTAACGACACCTCCAGGAACGGAAAAATCCACGCAGACCATAATTATATGTTACCATTATGAAAAACCAATGAAATGCATGCGGTTGAATCCATCCGACTGTCATCCGGCGTATATAGCATGTTGTTACTATAGCAGTATGACATATTATTATCATACATAATCATTACAATAAAATCTGATATTTTCTAGAATTATACTGTTTTATAGATACTATTTTCTATTATGTACATTCTATGTACAGTGGTACCTCAGTTCTCAAACTGATTAGAACTCGAATTTCTTAAAAGTCAAACCAACCAGTTAGAAAAAAAAATACCTAGAGCTCGATCTGAATCTCAGAATTCAATCCTTGAACGCCGACCTAAGATAACTTGTAAGCGAGGGGAAATGAGTCACGCATGTCTGTCAGCAGAAACAAAGGGTAAAGCTTCAGTCTCAGCCTCGCATTCGCTGTGATAGCATCCTGCATGTTTACACTAGCTGAACATATACTTAGACAGTAAAAATACATTTAGACAACGATAGACAGTAACAGTAATTAATATTATATAATAAAATACATTTTAAAGTAAAGATTTCCTATTATTTTAATAATAATAAACCATTAATACATTTAATTATAATAATATTGTCGTGCGGAGCGGAGACGGAATGGAGACAAAGGCGCATACGTAAGGGTATTGGGGAATACGGGGTTTAATTACAGGTAAGGCAGGCAAAACGCAGACGGACAATACAATGACCGGACTGGGGAAACAAACTGAAATGCGGACTAAATATAGAGGGCTAATGAAAACAACCAAAAACAACTAGCTGATCACAAGGGGATTCCACACGGGGTTAACGAAGGGGCGTGGCACACGGAAGAAGCGGAGGATAGGGGCAGAACACATTGTTTTTTTTAACTTTACACATTGTTTGGATACATTTATTTTCTTACTTTACAAATTGTTGTTTTGATAAATGTGCTTAGATGTGTTCAGTACAGTATATGCTCTTCTTGTTTTATCCCGTTCATTTTGTGTTTAAATGCTAAAAAAAACACATTTTGGTGTAATTTTTTGGGCCTGGGAACGAATTAATTGGTTTTACATTATTTCTTATGGGGAAAATTCGATCAGAACTCAAACTTTTTAGGATTCGATCCGGAGTTCTGAACGGATTAAGTTCGAGTTCTGAGGTACCACTGTATATATACATCACTGTTTTGGAAACAACTGAGTAACTTTTACAATATCTTAGGGGAGTTAATAGTACGTAAGTGTGTCATCAGCCACAAGTGTACATGCTACAACTGTGTGGGTGACTGTATCAAAGCGCCCTTCACCATAACAGCCCCACACTCTTGCATGCTCACAGCTGTCGGCCACAGCTGCACTGTGTCCTGGTTACCATGCAGTGCTGCTCGCAATAGCCGACTGCCATTTCCCTCATCCACGTTTCTACATGACCTCTGAATCTATAAGACAAATTGTTTGTATACTGCAGACTTTCTATGAAATACTAAAGCAGTTAATCAGCATGTTAGTGGGTCCAGATCCTCTGCTTATTTTCATCTAGCTCATAAAAGCCACTGGGATCCATAGAAGTTGAGGAACAGGTCACTGGTCCAAGACTTACAAAGGACTTACATTATACTTGAATTTTAAAACAAAAAATATACATGCATGGTGTATACATATGTGCTTCGGGAGCATGTGCCTGTGACTGGAAGATTGTCAGTTCACATCTTGTACCTGGCAGAGTAATCACATCACTGCTGGACTCTTGAGCAAGGCCCTTAACCCTCCAGGAATGCTATATACAAAAACCAAGGAATTTCCTGTGCAGGGCTCTGTGTACAGGTAAGAATGAAGATGTTTAGGTAGAAACACTGTGAACTATGTATTACAAAATAGAAGAATAACTATGGAGCAGTCAGCTAAGGCTGGAATCCAGAAGTGGGGTTTGTGATGTTGGAAGGTACGAGGAATCTCAAAGCTGATAAAAGGAAAGGTCACCTGAAAGGATGCTTTGTTGGGGCAGGTGTGCATTTCTTCTGCTACTTTGGCTATCTGACACCTCAGTCTCCTCATATCTTCAAAGACAATGACAAACAAAGACAAGATGGATTGTAGTGAAACATAGGCAGCGCTCACCTGAGCTTCACCTAAAGATGATAACAGCAATTAAGGATCAAGAGAATGTTAAATGTTAAATGTTTTAAACTCATCTC